AGTTTTAAAATTTAATATATATATTTCATCACATTAACTACACTTTCTCTTTTTTTTTTTTTTTTTTTTTTTTTTTTTTTTTAGGCAAAATGAATTTCCGTCAGATATATGAAGCCAATGAAAGTTTATAATTCCTCATGGTGACAAAAACGACATTTTTTTTTTTTAAAAACATTGTCAATGTTGATTTTCACTTTAACTCCTCATTAAATGTCAGAAAATGGTACCATCTCTTCATTTTCATTATGAAGAGTTTTAACTTTTTCAATGACTTTGTGAAATATTACAATAAAGACACGAGGAATAACTTAATTTCTCATTGATAAAAATTATATTTATTTTCATGGAAAAACTAAAATATTTGAACTTTTTAATTCTGAACATATTTTTAATTTTACATTTGATATTATTTGGCTATACATTATGCAATGTGTGATACTGATATGTTTATAGAAAATTTCAGACATAAATATTTTGAATAAGATATTGATTGTTCATGTTTTGTATACCTCAATTATACTTGGCTGTTTAGATCTTGCCTTCAACTAGAAAAAAATTTTTTCTCCCTCCTTTCCCAGTCATTTACATTTATTTTGTACCTTCTGTCCAGTGTTGCAGAAAAACTACCTCCTCAATGGAAAGTTGTTTCTTTTTTGTTCTGGTTTTTTTTTCCTCCCCACCCCTGGATAAAGCAACAGCAAATTAAAAAGAAAATTGTTCTGCTATTGCTAAGATTAGACACTGCTATTGACCTGATTAACCTTGCATCTTTTATGATTTACACTGCCTTATGCACCATCAACTTCTTTGAATGGCAACAATTGATTATTACTCACTGTACTATTTAGCTAAAAACAATTTTATAAAAAAGAAAATCAGTTTTTATTGATTTCTTAAAAAAAAAGTAAACAGTTTGTGAATTTCAAGTAACTATTTACACCATGCATAAAAGTTAAATCTTAAAAAAAACAGCAAAAAGAAAAATGAAAACCATTTGTAGTTCAGCTTACACATGTTAATCTAATAATACCCTTCAAAGTGCATAAATACTTTTATAAATGAAACCATTGTTAAATACATAAACCTTTTCAATCAAGGAATGAATTTACTTTGATTTAATAAAAAATATTTAGCTGCTAACATATCTCAGTAGCCATCTTTTTAAAAAATTTTAAATTTAGATCGAGGATATTAAATTTTTAAATTTTGTATTTATTAATTTGACCATTATTCTCAGAATCAGTGTCTAAATTCCTTTTTGCTTACGTTTGCTTCATTCTAATCAGCCTAGAAAGCCAAAAGAATTTCAACAACAAAATGTTTTGTCACATTCTATTTTGCATGTATCTTAATTTGTTATAAGAAGCATCTGCAACTCCAGCCATACTCTTGGAGAAATGCTACCTTAAAATTGTATCAATACTATCACTTAATTGGGCATAATTGTTCTTTAACTAGCAGATATTCTTTTGTGGAGAATAGCTTTTGTCTTGGAAATGTATTGCTTTAAAAAAAAAAAAAAAAAAGAATTCATTGTAGAAAATTTTAGCAATTACCTCATTGATTAGAGTACTTTGTTTTCTGTCAGGAAAAAGAAGCTTACTTTCGACAGTTTCTTTTTCTGCATAGGTACTCAAGAGAGATTTTTCTTTTATTTATTTTATTTAATGTTACAGACCTTAAGTCCTGAGTGATTACAATTTTTCTCAATCTTCTCTACACTTAGCAAATCTAATTGATCTTGTCTTGAAATAAGTGGATATTTTTTATGATTATCCTTCTTCTCTGCTAGATGGTTATTTTCTTTGAGCAATTTACAATGGCTTTTTTGTTCTCCTATTCCTTGGCTAAAAGTAAGCAAAAACTAGAGAGTTGTATATTCATCCAAAACATGCTGTTAGAGAATTTCTTCACAACTTGTAATTTTTTTTTTTCTTAATATAAAATTTTCTGGGGGTGGGGAATCCTGATATTCCAAGTATTGTGTGGTGGGTTTTTTTTTTTTTTTGTTGTTTTTTTTTTTTTAAATTAATTTGGTTCTTAAATAATTGTCAGCATAACAAATAAAATTTATCAGGTAGTAAATAGCAACTGGAGAATATTATTGCAGCCAAATCCTGATGATTTTCAAGATTGGCTAAGTACATTAATTGAAATATATCCTTTAATATAATCTATTTTTTTTTTATATCCCTTCAGAGGATATAGGAAATCATAAATCTCTGCCAATTTTTGTTCTTTCTCTTTGAATTGCTATACATTCTTGGGAAAGATATTGGAATGGTTTCCCATTATCTTTTCTACAGTTTAAAATTCATTCTTTGAAATTTCTGTCTCTTGACCGATTCCATCCAAGAATAGAGAGCTCAGTATACTCTATCTAATCTCTAGCTGGTTGAGAAAATTTGGATTCATGCCTTTCCCATTTGTGTGAAAATGAATGCAACAGACTAGTGTGGAATCTGTTTGCCAATTCCACTTTCTATGCCAATATTGATTTCACCACCTGCACCACTTAATCATTTTGTATGAATTCATGAAAATTGGCTTTATTTTAATTTTCTATAGGTTAATGCTTTTTTTTTTTTTTTTTTTTTTTTTTTTTTACTCTAGTTCATTTCTTTGTTTTAATCAGTCTGCAAATGAAAATGCCTTAATTTTTCATTAAATTAATATGCATCTAACATTTAAAAATATAAAAAGTAATGATTCTGACATTATGGAGAAAAAACAATTTATCTAAACTTTTGTGAAAAATTTCATTGTTTTAAAGACAAAAATGACAGGTTTATTTTGATAAATCTGAGAAATATGGACTTTTTTTTCAATTTGGATTAGTGATGCCTGAGGAATTTGGATGATACTTGATCATTTCAGCAAAATACTTTCTTGTATCAATTCATATTTGTATAAAACCATGTGTCATAATTTTTTTTTTCACTTTGTATATAAATTTTACTCTTTTTATATCATTTATATTGTTTAACATATCAAGAGATCATGTCTTATATCTTTGCAGATTGATATGTTATACATTTTGTCATCCATTCACAATCTTTTGGTTGGTTAATTCTCTTTAGATGAATGTAAATAAATGATCCATCCAGCTGAAGAAAGATGGAGAAATGGCTGCCCAAAATGTCAAAATAGAAAATAAACATTTTTTTATTTTAATTTTTTTTTAATCCAGTATCACAGAATTTTTAAAGAAAATTGTTTTGTCTAGTTTAAGAATTTTTAACATTTTAAATTATAACTCTTTGATTCTTTGCGCAATCACTTCAACTTATTTGCACCTTTGTCATGATTTATACAATTTTGTACTTGTTAGTCACCTCTGAGTCCTACCTTATATTAATGCTTATCTCCACTTTGCACACTGAGAACTTTTTATCAGCTGTAAAGAGTATACATTTTAAGGTTTAGCCATCATATTTTTAGATTGTACATATTCACTGTTTTTTCAAACACTAATCCCAAGAGATGATTGCTTATCAGCAAGGAAAGAAAGTTGTGGCATCCAAAAAATGACCTTTTTTACAATAAATTCACTCTATATGAGAAACCTAAAAAGTAGTTTATTTTTCTTTTAATTCTATGTAGGTATGATACTTTTGAATTTATTATGGTCAAAAGTAGAAAAAATAATAAAAGTTAGTTTTAAAATTTCACAGAACATTAGTTTTGAAAAACAACCTTATTTAAATATACAAAGCTTTTGTACTTTTTTTATCAGTCAACTCTGTTTACTTTCACACCTGCACACAACTTTAACTTTGCACATATATAGATCTTATAGAAAAAAAAAAATGCACATCAACATTTTCAAGTATTTTTGAAAGTTGCCTATTTTTTTTTTCTTTGTTTGGTGTTATATATAACACCCATTCACTTGCTCTGCAATCTCTAACATTCCACATTATATCCTTCCTCTGACCACTTGTATGATGACATACATCAAATAAAGCAACTAACATGACCATGCTGTTGCAAATGATTTTTCAATATTTTATTAGGATATTTCCTGCATTATATAATGCTGACTATAATCAAGTAATGTCTCTATTTCAATGCTATTAAATTTAACTCATCTATTTTACTGTGGTGCATTGTTCAATAAGAATTCTCCAACATGAAATTTCATAAACTAATTTCTCCAAATAGTGTGTAATGTTTGCTTTTGAGTTGCATTGTTGTTCTTAATATAAGAGCAATAGAGCATAATATGCTGAAAATGTCACTTCTTTTCTTTCCTATCTTCAATGGTAGAATCAGTTTCTTTTAAATTAAAAGCAGTTTTTTTAAGTTCATCAAAACTGTTTTTAATGCCACTTAACAAAAAAAAAAATATATTCAATTAAAAGTACTTGCTTTGAATCTTAGATCAGTCTTGTAAATTTCTGGTGTCTTGCTGAAATAAGGTTACTAATGCAAAATATTTTACAAATTCCCCCTACAGACATTTCTTCCCTGTATAAAATCTCTTGATAAACATTTTAGATAATATTAAATTCAACTATATCTTTGTACTTCTTGCTAAAAATTTAAAATTCAAATTTACTAATCAGTTCAAATTTAAGTTATTTATTGAATTTAGGGAATTGATTTTTATACCAAATTTTGAAATTTTTATTTCCAGAAGTAGCTTTTATAACTTTAAAACTCTTTTTGATCATGAAAAAATATTTCTATATAATTAACACGAGAATTAAAATTAGCTTCTCTGTTCTCAGAAAATTAAGATGTCAATCAAATTGTTTATACCATGTGCCCTGCTTATGAAATAAGCAATACACATCATTTACAAATGACATATGCTTCTTTATTGTTACTTTTTTCTTTAAAGTATGTAAGCATATATGTGTTTCTTAATGCACTGTCAAAAAATGCATTTCTTATATGTTAAGAGAAGTTTTATTAAGTTCGGATTGTATTGTTAGTACTGCATTACTCTGTATTCTTCCATTTCTTCATATTTTGATTTTATTCTTTTCTTTTAGCACATGGAAGACAAAGATTTAGAACTCGACCCCAGAATGTCTCTGCCATCCAAGATCAGACTGTGATAATGAAGTGTGAGGTAGTAGAACGAGTTGGTGCAATGCAGTGGAGTAAAGATGGATTTGCTTTAGGTAAGGTTCTTCTAAGTTCTCTCCACAGACACGGCTAAATGTTTTTTGTTTTTTTAACTTGTCTAGACTTTTCTCTGGGTTTTTATCCTTATCTTATTCAGTCATCATGCTAAATAAGTTTTGGCCTGTTAACTGAAAATATTAAGTCAATAGGTTATAGTCAGCTGTTTATTCTATTCCAGCGTGTCCTGTGGGGGATGAATCGGTCTTTTGCAATATTTCTTCTGTCCCTTCATCTTATTGAATTGTGTCATTTAAGACAAGTGCTTGGTTGAATGGAGCCTGCAGTAGTGGGAAATTGTGATTGAATAAAACAATCTTTTCTTTCTTTCCTTAAATGCTTCACTAAACTGAAACCCAATGTAAATTACAACCCCCAGTATTCAGCAATTGATAATCAGACATTAATAGAGATGATGAAATAGTAATTGTAAAAAAAAAATAATGGAAACCTTATGACTTTGCATCCATAAGAGTGCATTTCTCATTTCTGTCTTTAGTCAGTCATTTCAACTTAATTCTCTTGCTCCTATTTAAAGAGGTGAAAATAAATCCATTTAATATATAAAATATCTCCAAATAAAAGGAAAAGAAGAAATTAATAATCTACTGTTCTTTAGCATTTACTATTTTTAAAAAAAAAGTGCTCAATAAAATGTAGAGCAAAATATATTTTAATAATATTTTTATGAGAAAAATATTTTACATTGCTACACAAAATTTTTCATATTTTGGAACAGAAAATTGTTCCTATTCATCAGGTGATGTTTGGTAACTTATGATAGAAAAGATTTAATTTTGAAAACAGAAAACAATACGATAATTTATTTACGATTTTAAAAAGGAGTGGGGGGACAAAATTTCAAAGTTTATGGGTATGTCTAGATTAACCAATCAAAACTCGGATCAATTCTGAAGCAGAAAAGTGAGAAGTATAGACTGTAAATTATGAGTATGTGTGTTATTCAATCCTGCCTGGATGAATTGACATTTCTTTTAAGACGTGTCACTATTTGCTAACATCCAGTTATGAATACAATCAAGATACATTGAATCATACAAAAAGAGATATACTTAATAAAAGGTTGATTTTAAAGAATTTCAAGATGTTTTTTAATTTTTTTCTATACTTGAAAACAGTCTTAAAGGAGCCTTTAGTATAATTATAATTGAATTATTTTCATATATTAATAACATAATGGATATCTAAATGTAATACATATATTTTTTTAATGAAAAATTCTATTAACATTTTAATGTAAACATTATACAATGCCTGCAAAATACTGTTAATTCAGTACGTGGATTTAAGAGATCATTATTTTTAGGAAAGTTAATAATATGCAGCTTTTCATGTAGACACAGAGAACATGGGTCATTTAGGTACTTACAAATTATTGTTTTTGTTTGTTGGTTTTGTGTTGTTTTTGGATATTTGATGTTGTTTTTGGTGGGGTTTTTGTTGTTGTTTTTTAATATTTTTCATTTTACTTTAGAAGTTTTATTAATTTCTTTCAAATACCAAAAATATTTTGAGAGGGAAGTTCAGTTATGGTATGCATTGTTGTTAAAAGAAGAAATGTGATGATACCATCTTAGTTTAAAAGGGTTTTTTGTGTTACCAATATAAAATTTCTTAATATCTGGGTTTTCAGTAGATGAAGGGGTGTATTGATAAACAATAAATTAAGTAAGACACCTATTTTTCAGGCTAAAAAAAAATTTATGGGAATTCTACAATTACATAATTCATTACCAATATTATTATTTTCCATTCTAGAATTACTATTATTATTTAGGTTTAAGCATTTATTTAAAATTTTATGTTTTTTAATCATTTTTTTTTCTAGATTATCAGTACAACTATAACTTAATTTAATCTTATTTTTATTGAAAATCTTTCTTAGAGGATAATTACATAGAAAATGTTTCTCAATCAAAGCAAGAACCTTTTGCCCTAACTTAGTGCTAATTGTTTGGTTAAATGGGGGTGTGTATCAAATGATTTTTCCCTCTCAAAATATTTTTGGTATTTAAAAGAAATCAATAAAATCTCCAAAGTAAAATGGAAAATAGTAAAAAAAATTAAAAAAAAGTATCACATTTAGATATCCATTATTTTATTAATATATAATGGTACATATAATAATTATTTAATTCCTTGATTTTAACTGTAATACTGCCAATTATTTATGGACCATTCAACATAAGTATTGTATTTTGTGTTCAAAATAAAATATATATACTAGCAGTAAAGCCCAGCGTTGCCCAGGAGTAAACTTCCTCTGAATGGAATGTCATAACCGCCATACTCATTTTGTACACACATGTAAGGCTGAAGTCTAGTATAGAACTGATGGCCACCCACGCAAAAAATGTAATGTACACAAGTTGTTGATATTTATCAGCACAATGAAAGAAAAAATTGTAAGGCTTAAAAGGAAGCAATGGACAGCCATGGTAGCATCAGCCGTTTGCCATTACTAAGACACCTCCAATTAAAAGTTGTCAAGTTCAATACGAACATGGGCCTTAGGAAGTTTTTGGTGAGTTGTGGCAGATGGCTTTGTATTCCAATGGGATGGTTTTATTATCCCTGAGTGCAAAACATTACATGAAGCCCTGTGTCAGTTGCAATGTAGTAAAACGCAATAGTGTGAAAGGTAGACGAGTCTTTTGCCCAAAAGATGACACTGCCACTACCACAAACAGAACCACATAACAGAAGTATGGGAATTTGTGAGTGGCACAATTTTTTTTTGTAGTTTTTAATAGCCAGTTGTGGCAAGCATGAAGTGCACATAGCGTTACCTAAAGCAGCCCTTATAATAAAGGGAGAAACACACCAACAGTGTACAGCAGAGAATGCATATTATAACTCTGCATGCTGCTATTCTTTTACTATCTCATTTCTTTTTGCTGAGGCCTGTATTGCGTGGACACACTTGACTTCTTTGACAATTAAATGAATCCATCTTCCCACATATTGGTTTTGTGTTGCAACTGAATATGGTTATGTGGTTGACATGTAAGTGCGAATGCAGCTATGGTGGGGTTTAAGTGATAAAGGAGCATCTGGTGAGCAAGACAACCTTTAATGAAATGTCTTAGTAATGGCAAGTGGATACTATGATGACGTTTAAATAAACCAGGTTCAAAAATGAAGGAACCTACGATGCAGCTGACATAAAGATGTGTACATTGCATTTAAATGTGACCGACCATGGACTATAGGACTTCTGTCTAGGTAATATTTTTAGCTTTGTTTGTTGGAGAGTAAACGTAAATGTTAGGCTGTTCCCAAGTCAGGAGTAAGGATATATAAAGCTCTTCATGGGCAAAACACTGTTCACCTAAATGCAGACCCGCAATGCTGAGCATCTGTCCTTGTGATTTGGCCATTGTTGTTGAGCCATGCTCGCCGTACCCAGGGCTTTCTGAAGCTCTGGCAGAGGCAGTAGATCTGGAATTCCTCAAACGACAATTAGCGGTCTGCACAGGACTTTTCTAAAGGTCTGGCAGACGCAGTAGCGCTGGCATTTCTTAAACGACAAATAGCATTTTGTTGAGGTTGTTCCAAAATGCTGGAAGATGCTATAGCCCTAGCATTCCTAAGACTACATAAAGTGGTTTGTTAAGAGTTTTCTAAAGCTCTAGAACATGCTGTAGCGCTAACATTCCTTAAACGCCGAAGGATTGTCTGTGTTGGGGACTCAGAAGCCCTGGCCCTAGAAACGCATATTGCTTCCTGTGAATTCTGTACTAAATGCTCTTCAGTTGAACGTCTAGCACGTCGTGATGACATAACTGATGCTACTGATGCCTGCCTTTCAGTCTGTTCAGTGGTATTTTCCATGGAGATGCAGGCAGCAGAGCATGAGGCCATCTGAGAAAGGTGCAATGAAGTTTGCTCTGTGGTTTCACTTGCTCTTGCTACTCTTGTAGTGGAGGCAGCAGCCATGTGCGATCCAAAAAGTTTTCTTCTCTTAGGCAGCATTTTAACCAATTTTAAAAAGGCAAACATAATAAAAGGTATGTAGGTTTTTTTGAGTGCAAAAAATGTGTAGTCTAAACATAGGCAGGTTAGAGGGATCCCAAAAATGTATGTAACTGTATCAAAAGGGGATCGAAGACAAAAAAAAAATGAAATTTGAAAAATTCAACTAAAGCTAAAATGGTAGTAGGTAATTTGGGAAGTAAATTTGATAAACGCGGAAACTGATATAGTTATAACTAAAAAAAAAAAAAAAAAAAAAAAAACAGTTTGGATACGTGATCAACAACTTGCAGTTTCTGTAAGAAGTAAATGAAGTGAGCCAAGTAAAGGACAGTAATCGCAGAAGTGTGAACACGCGTGCGAGTTATGCTATAAAGAGGCAGTTGGTCGTTGACCTTAATCACACATACTAAGGTGATGTGCGTGCATAAGAGAACTGCTCGCACATATAATTGGATGGGCCCAAAATTAAACGCTTGCAACCGTGCCAATGAGCTCGCAGCAACCTTGAACAGTTGACGTGATTGGTTAACCTCCAGCTTGTTTAGTCAAAGCAGTGCACAGTGGCAGATGACATTTCAAAGTAGTATCTGGCAACTTTATTGTATCGGGGTTTTTTAGTGATAAATATGAAAGCTATGTAGTTCCTTATCCAAAAATAGGCATTGCATTTTTGATTTATGTTGTCACTGATGTAGCGCAGTCTGTCAAAGTTAGCCAATCAGAAAATGGGATTTTCAAGCTTCATTTTTCTTTGAAAATTTTGAGCAACCAGGAGATATGAGGTAGTTTTATTGATCAAAAGTTGAAAATATAAGACTTTTTATACTTCTAACGAACAAAACTTGTTAATTTCGTTTACTGATGGATGATGAAGGCATTTAACTAGCATGAATTTAGATGAAAACATGCGAGAACTTTTTTGGGCAGCAATGCGCAGTAGTAAAATTATAGTGAGTATGTTCCTTTTGCTACACATAAATGGCATGAAAAGACATAACAG